CACATTGATTGCTCAAATATAAATCAAAATTTTTGCAGTAAATCCCTTGCAGTAGTAAATTTCATTTCTTATATGTGCACTAGGAAACAAATCTATACATCAGGCCTAATTGATGCAAAGGACTCCTGCTTGGAAACTCAGTAAGGCTTGTCTCAATTTCTTTCAAGCGCACTTTCTATGTCATTCTGAAGTCCAACACAGACAAACCAAAGTAGAATTTAGGTTTGGAGAGTGAAGTGCAGGATCAGGCAGAATTTGAATGCCCCCTCCCATGCGTGTGGATTATCTCCCCCTCCAGGTGTTTAAGCTTTGTTGTCGCCAACCAAACGTGAAAGGAAATCCAAACCATCCTTCTCACAGCCCCCAGCTCTGGTTTTAGCTATATGTCCAAACTGAGTCTTTGAGCCGTATCACATGTACTTAACTGCATAAGTTAGCCATGCAGCATTCAAACTGAATTTAGACAGCTCTGCTATTTGATAGCAGATGGTTAGCTAAAGAAATACACGTGCATTATATATTGCTGTACAAAGAATCACTGCCCCTTCGACATTTTGTGCATGATTCTTGCTGCTTCCAGACAGTGTTTCTGGTGAACTAAACTGGCATTATGTTTCTCTAAAAGGGGTGCTTGATACAGTTGTATTTCTCAAATCTGTTGGCTCACAAAATGCACATCTATACCAGGGGAAACTTTCTTAGTTCAGCAGCAAAGGGTTTACAGCCCATCAAAAGCACGATGGGAATAAAAGGCCATCACTCATCAGATCTTTAGAACTCTCTCTCCACATGGAGCCCTTACAGAGTCCCACTAACCTCATATAGAGATGGCAACCGGCCCTTTGGAGCTTACATTGACTTCATCTTTCTTGTGCCTTAAAAAAGAAGATGACGAGTCAGCATTTTTTGTTCACTGAGGTAGCATATAGATTAGGCATATCTTTTACTGTAGCTATCGCAGCACTTGACCAAGCAAGTCTAAATAGATCTGAAAGGTTATGGGCAATGTATTTTTTGTGTTTCAACCAGTGTGTGAATTTTGGTGTTCCTTGCCTGAAGGAGTAGAACTAATAAACAATGCCAATATTAAAAGAATAATCAGCTGTTCAATATTCCATTTTTCTAAATCTCATTATAATAATGGCATAGGCTTTAAGAGAACATAGTGGTCATATGATCAAGTTATCTATGAAATGACGAGGAACAGAAACAGCATATTAAGTATCCTTAGAAAATTTAGGAAATTTCCGTGTGTGTGTTGTGTCTACAGGAATATTTGCTGAAGATGAGAAGGACAGAAGGATGCAGTAGAAAGATCGTACTTCCTTAGTTAATATTTTATTAATGCCTGAGGTTTTTTTTTTAAATAATGTGGATTATTACTAACTGTAGATTTGAGACAAAGGAATTAATCTCATTATGTGTCAGTCAAGGACATATCAACGTTGTGTCAGTCAACTTAAAATATGGAGTTGATTGCAATGCCTTTATATTTTGGTTTTTCTGTAATGGCATCTACAATGCCTGTATGATTAATATAATGAAGAAAGCAATTAATTAGTTGGGTCCTATGTCTGCTCACAATAGCCTCTCAGCCAAAACTGCAGGATAGATTTGGATTGTGTTCAGTGCAATCTTATATATATCTCGCCATAACTTTCCCTTTTTGTTTACTGACTGCCCAAGTGAATAGAAAATTTTATTGTAAATCCAAAGAGTAGGTAAAAAGCAGCAAATACATTTGCTATATATTTCTCTGGAAGCTGTTCCTTTGGGACAGCAACAAAATGATGCCATGTTAACTTAAAACATGGGGCTCCATTGGAGTTTTACTTTACAGCAGCCTTTCATAACCTGATGCTTTAAAAGTTTTGGACTATGACTCCCATCATGCTCAGCCAGTCAAACATGATGGGAGATGTAATTCACAATATCTGGAGAACAATAGGTTGGGGGAGACTGCTTTATAGCAAAAAAATTGCTACCATAGCACAAATTCCACTCTAAAAGCTATTAGCTGGAAAAGAACATAATGGCCATTAGTCTGTGAAGAACTGTTGCTTGGGTTGATGTCATTTTAAAACCACAATGTTTGGTTCATGAAGGATGGGGCAACCTAGAGTAATTATAGCTGGAAGAGGGGAAAGACCTAATGTGGAATGCTGCAGCCAATTCCTATGTCAGTCCCTAAAACTAGAACCCTTTTCTTGCTCCAAGGTATAGTAGAAGATCAAAATGCATAAAAGAACTTATTTAGTAGAAAGGTTAATTTTTTCTGTAATGTTTTTAGTGTGTTTATATTATTTTATTTTGGCTTTTTATTGCATTTTATGTGTTATATAAACTACTTAGAAAACATACAATATCAGGTCATAGGCAAATTATAAAAATAAACCAAACTAAAATGAATACTAGAATGGTCTCACTGGCAACAGAGGCAGGATTTGTGGACTGAGTTGGAGCAGCAGTGTCTTAGTGAAGGCTACCATCACTAGAGGCTATGTAAGGGCATCAAACGAATCTGTTGTATGGCACAAACACTGGGTAGATGTGAAGTGGGGTTGTTCAAGGGCTCTGGGATATCCTGGTCCAAGGTACCCAATCTGTTCTGGGCCCAATTCAAAAAGTTGTTTCTGGCCCTTCGAGCCTTTAACAGCCTATGGATGGGATATATGGAAAAAACAAACCACATGCCTCCTTATGTATTTTCCTGTGCCTAAAGCTCTTCAGTGCAGGATCTGCTATGTGTGGCCCCACCACCTGAGGGAGAAGACCCTTCTCAATGGTGCTGCTCCAAACGTTCTTCCCAGAGAGGTTCACCTGATGTTTGCTTGGTTATGATGTGGCATTTGATTAAGCTTTGTATGAACCTTGTTCCTGTTGAATGTTGCTTACGTTTTCCTGTATTACTTTTATAGTTATTTTAGCCAGAAACTTCTGAACAGCATTTTATGGTGCTGCTCTGAGAATTTTATTTAAGGGCGGCATGTATTCTCATAATATTACAAAAGCAGGTAAAACTTTTGTGTCAGCACAAAACCAGCCATGATGTGACAGCTAACAATTCAGTGAGAAGCAGTTTGTTCAGGTGGACGTTGCTTACTGGCTTTGCAACTGGTATTTGCGATGTTTCCCCAGTCCCAGGTCTGTGTGTATGTGTATAATATTTGTTTGATTTGGGTTCATGTATTCTTAGTAAGAAGCTATAATCAGAATTCTTGGCTTTATTTATTATCTGATTAATATTTATAAACCATACTTTCTGCCCAAAGACAAGCAGGACAATGTATAAACATTATAGCTGCCAGCAATGGGCACACATGGTCCTGTATTTTATTGAAGGAAGGCATTTTGGTGCGCTTGGTGCCTGGCAGTACAGAAAGGAGATTATGAAAAAGGGACCAGTGGGAAAGAGAAGCTCCTAATTATCTTATTGATCTATTTGTACAGATGTAAGCTTTAGGTTCTGTTGTTTAACAGGCTGATGTGAAATGAGCCGGTAATGGCAGGCTTCTGGTTAGGAATTCACAGCTAAAAGTCAGTTAGATCCGGTTCACATGATGTCTAGTACACAGATGATATGCATGGTGGGACTGACCATAACCTTTTCTGTGGATGAGCTTAAATATCTCCTCCTAGACAACCTAGCAATCTCCAGATGTTTTGGTACAGAACTCCCATCAGTTGGCCTGATCAGTGATCAGGCAATGGAATTTGTTTTCCCGAATTTCTGAAGAACATGAGGTGGCACTTCTAGGGCCCTAATTCATACCAGATATTATATTCACCATTGAGCTTGAGGCCTTACACCCACATTCTGCTAAATGTTCAACCCACAGTGTGGGCTGCAGTGCTTCTAGGGGATGGGGCAAATAAAAATAATTAAACAAGTACCCAAACATTTTATCCTTACAACCATATAGAGCTTCAGGACAACCTTCATTATATCAATGCAAATTTGGTCTTTTTATATACAGTTTAAACTTTACTCAAAATCTGGGTGGTTTTGCAGTATTATCTATCCAGGATGAATACCACTTGTTATCTCTCAAAGGTAACCTTTAATTAATGGATGGAATAACCAGAGTCAGTAAATGGATGCTAACAAAATCTGATGGTATTTGAGCAAGCAAGTACAAACAGAGCATCAAAATATGTAATAGCACATAGAAGACTTCTGAGGCACAACATTATACACCATACCTGTGCCCCTCCCCCCAAAAAAAGGACAAGGGAGTCATGACTAAAAGGAAAATTTATATATGCTAGACTACAAAAGCCTAAGAGATATGCAGGGTTCCTACGAAGGCATGATCTTTTGCATGGATATACCTCACATTGCAATAGATAAATAGCATATTCAAATATTTACACTTGTCTAAGCTCTGTTTTGAAAAGATTCTTTGCTTTGTCAGGCTAGTTTGGCAAGCATCTAAGGCATTTTTGTAAGGAGTTAATGCAAAAGCAACCTACCTGGCTGTGCAAAAATCATTAAACACTGTATCAAAGTAATGAGTAATGAGTAACAATGCAACAAAAGTTGAGAAATTTATCAACTTACACTATTAAACTATGTAATGCATAAGGCTAGGAATGCATATAATGTGATCTAGTAAGGTTCTCAATTTAAATTGAATAAAGAATTCATCTAATATAACCTGATTAAATACAGCAGTGAGAATTAAAATATAATGAAATCTGAGGTTGAAAGATGTGGGGTGAGGGGGTGAGTTAAACACATAATAATACTGACTTTAAAATTACATACAGAGTATTTTTACTCTTTACATTTTAGGTGAGAGCCATATCCTCGTGATTTAAAATTAGTTCAAAACTTCATATAAGGAAGCTCATTTGAGCATTGTACATAGTCAAAATAGAGTTCAGTTGAGGATATAAACACCTGGTTGTTCTAAATTTGATAGCACAAACTAAAATAAAAAAGAAGGAAGACCTCGTATAGAACTGTTCATAAATACAAGGCAGTGCAGCAAAGGAAATGCAGTAGGAAGCACTATTTAATTAGGAGAAAGAAAATAGAGCATTTGACCACATTCTAGAGGCATATGAAGAAAGAGAGTATTCATGATCTATCCTGATACATGGGTCTCACTGACAGTTCTCTATTCTCCTGCAGCAAATGCTGAGCAATGCATATCTGCCTACAGGAAAGATCCTTATATCAGTACATCTGATATTTTATTTTTAGTAAAGATTCAGAAGTGCAAGCAATTTTGGCTTCTGTAATCCTTGTCACAAAGTAAACTCAAATTCATACTTCATAAAAATAAGAACTTAGAACAAACTGCCATGAAATTATTATAATATTGGTTACATTTACATCTAGAAAAAGAGCTTTCTTGACCTCGGATTGCACATACCTGGATTTGGAATTGGGCTGAAAGAACAACTGTCAATCTGTAAAAAAGTTTGGACTTCAAATTTTTCTGTTTTCACTTTTGTCAGTTTTCTTTGAAAATAGTGTGTGAATCTAGTCTTGTATATTGAAGAAGATGAGTCTATCCTCAATAGACAATTCTTTTCATTTTTAGTTAGTTAATGATATAATGCTTAGAAAATCCCAATACAGAATATAACATGTAAAATAAAATGTATAGAAAAAGGCACTATTTAACATTTATAGCAAGCAGTAGCCTATATTTGAAAAAAGCTGATTTTTCAAAAATCAGTTTTGCAATATGACAGAATTATCTGCAGCAGTTAGAAGGCTTTGGTTAAAGTGCATTGTTGGTATTCTGCCTGCATGATAATAAATGCAAAATCTTGCAGTATTCTAAAGGCATATCATGCAGCTAGTATATATGCTAGAAAACTAAGTGTGAGCCAGTTCTGTTTATAGCATGTACTCTTAAGTTACTTTACAAGTTGCCTTGAAAATTATATTTTCACTTCCCTCGTTAACTTCTGAAGTTGCTGCAAAGTGGGGGAAAAGGCACGTACCCCCTTTGTGAGCAAAGATCTCTATCAGCTTTGCTTTGACTCGACAGCACACCTTTCCACGGCTTTCGGGGGAAGCAAAGTAAAAAACAAACCTCTTTGGAGCCTCTCTGGGTCAACAGCCAGGGTTGATCCTTGCAGCCCTTTGACAGAAGGTGCCCCCCAGGACACTGCCCAGGCAAGGCTTCCCATTTTGGAGCCACAGAATGGTGCAGCTCCACAGTTGTGCAGCCTGACTAAAATAATGACAATAATCTGAACATTATGAAAAAGTGTGCACATTTGGAGTGCAATGGTGAAAATGGTGCAAGCCAACAAAGGGAAGATGGGCATCCAGGGGCAGCCCCTTCAATGAGCTGCGTGGGCACTCTGAAAGGGCTGTCACCGGCTCTCAGTTTGGATACTGTTGTTCATGACCCCTGGAAAAATAAAGCTAGAGGGGAGAAAAGCCACGGTGAGCCAGAAAGGGCTCATGCTTATAGCAGGCAGAGGAGACAAGGAGGCTTCAGCCACCAAATCCTCTGGGATTTTGCCTGGAGGGCCAAGAGGTAAGGAGAGGAAGAAGACCCTACAGTGAGCCCAGTCGTTTGTTGTGTGCATGCAGGCTGCCTGCACAACAACCAACGCACAGTGGCTCTTTTCCAGGATGGGTTGCTAACCAAGTGCAAACCTGCTGAATCTTATTTCTTCTCCTTACTAAACAAGCTATTTAGAATGCTATTGAAGATGTACATACCACATGGCAAACCTAAAAACTGTTGCCACACTGAACTGGAGAGCCAGTGTGGTGTAGTGGTTAAGAGCATGGGACTGGGACTCAGACGACCTGGGTTCTAGTCCCCGCTTGGCCATGGAGCCAACTGGGTGACTTTGGGCCAGTCACAGACTCTCAGCCCAACCTACCTCACAGGGATGTTGTTGTGGGGATAAGATGCAGGAGGAGAATGATGTAAGCTGCCTTGAGCCCTTTGTAGGAAAAAGGCAGGATATAAATCGGAAAAAAAAAAATTGCCTGGCCAGGAGCAGCTAAAACAACTGCATCAAACACTGCAATTCTATGTCTGTTTACTCCAAAGTATGTTCCACAGCATTCAATGGTGCTTACTCCTCAGGAGGTGCTCCCAAATCATCCAGGTGGTATAACAGAAAAAGTATAACTAGCTGCCATTATAAAGGAAAAGTGAAATATTTTATTATTCGATGAAATACAATGCTGCTTTTTTTCTTCTCTATAAAGAATGCAGTTATAGTAACGGTAACTGGTCATTGATGTTCCAATGTGTAGGCTCTGATTTTCTTAACAGTTAATGCTACATTAGGTCAATGCCTCATGCTATTCCATGCTTTGAAATGTTACAGCTGTACCTGGCAAGAGTGACCATACTTTCAAGGGGAAAGCTTAGGGTGTTAGTTGATCAACTGAGGAAGAAGCCCACTGTTGATAAGTTAATCGATATTCACATACATGATCTGGAAGCCAGTATTGTATGGGACAGTTTTCCCCAACATGGTGTCCTCTGGACTTTAGCTACTGTCAGTCCCAATCAGCATGGCCACTGGTTAGGAATGATGGGAGCTTCCATCCAAAAAATTGGGGTTAGGGAATACTGGTGTAGTGGAGAATTAGAACCAGTGTGACTCAGGTTTCAGTTCCTGCTCAGTTATGAATGCCGTTGGGTGACCCTGGGCTACGCATTGTCTCTTAGCATAAAACTGTGTGTGTATGTGTAAGGGGGGGTGTGTGTCTGCCTGAGTACCCTATAGGAAGGGTCAAGTAAAAATGTAATAAGCAACTATTGGTATTTGTCAGAGTTTTTGTCACATCAGAGACAAAAAGGCATTTGTAGCATCCCTGATAAGAAAGACCATTGTTTTCTGTTTCTTTTAAAATTCTTTTGAAAGACTGTTGTTGAAGCCTGCCCTTATTTACAGAAATCTTTTATATTAGTAGCTCAGAATCACAGGCTTTATTGACTCAAAGCGATTCTGCAGCTATTGCTTAAAAATCTACTTTTAGACCAGCTGTTACTTAAATATTTTAAACTAAAATAATTGCCAAGATGGCTTGGTTTAGATGACACATAAGCTTTGGAGAAACCGCATTATTAAGATTGAGTCAATGACTCAAGTTTAGGGCAGGCAACAAACCATTGGCTCCCCATCCCTTGTTTGTTTATTATATCATATGAATTAGAAATTTTGGCTTGTTTCTCCCCAAACAGCCCACAGTCATAAACCATGGCTTGTTATTCATTGTGACATCCAAACTGGCCCTTTGTTATGGAAGGAAATCAGTTATAGAAGAAACATGCACAGTACAATTTTGAACAAAAGTACGTGGGAGTAATCTCCAATGACCATAAGAGGGTTTACATCTGATTAGATATGAACAGGATTGCTGTTAGATTTGATAGTTTTTGCATTTGCTTAGTACATCTGCTTGCAGAATTGCTGTAACAATTCTGTGTTGCTGCCACATTTCTTTTTGTGACATTCAGCTAACCCAGCAGTCTGTGCTCCCCATCAGAAGCATGTTCTTTTCCCTGGCTCAACACATTTTACTGGGCTAGAACAAAAGCAATTTTTTATTGCAGCTGAAGGCCTTGAAGGATTCTTCATTGCCTTTAAGAAACATAATTGTATATTGATTCTTTAAATGCTTTTCAGCCTTTCTTTTGAAGAGACATTAAAAGTTTTGTTTTAAAAAAATCAAAACCAAAGGATAGCTTTAAAATTATAGATAGAAAATACAAATGTCTGGACTTTTGAAAATCATTCTTTTTAAATCTATTCAAAAATATTAATTCCCTTTTCTTAAACCTACAATTTTGTTTGAAGTTCAAGAAAACAATTTTGTTTTCTGAAAAAGATGTAAAATAAATGGTTGCCTAGGACTCTTCAGACCTGCTGATGGATCCTGCCTGGAGCGCTTAAGAGCCGTCACAACCGTTCCAACAATCACATCAACCTCAGTGGATATTGAAGCACATGTTGGACCAGCATCAGGGCACAGTCATGCAACATTGTCCCAGAACCGCAGCAAAAGGGGGCTGTGTGTTCCCTGGCCCTCTGCCACTTGGTGGAACTCTTACAGCAGTGGCTTTCTTTTTTCCTTCTCCTTGCAAGGGGCTCTCGGAGACTCTTCACCAAAGGATGGGATCAAATGCTACAAAGGACTAAGCAGAAGAGGGTTCTCCTATGTGTAGGAGAGCGGCCATTTCTGACATGGGTGAGTCCCACCACACCTCCTCCCCAAGGTGCTCAGGGTGGAGGTATCCCATTTTTCCCTTCAATCTCAGTTCAGAAATAAGTGCAGGGGGAGGCTCCTGAAGGAACCCAAGGGGCTGTGTGGGTTGGGTTGGGGTATCCCACAAGGCAGTCTGGACCCACAGGACAGTTTCTGTACCCTGCTATAAACAAGCAAACCGATAGGTTAGTTTGGTCCTGTACTTGCAGTGGGAATCTGTTGAGAAATTATTTTAAAATTATCACAGGCCTGCATCTACACTGTGAATTATTTCAGTACTGGATAAATATTGTTTATTGCTTATAATTTTTGTTATTTTCCACCTTACCCACACAATGGGGATCTGAAAGTTTGTTAGGTTCCTCACAAGAGGGAAGAGGGTGGCATATAAAATTCAGTGAACTAATAATCATTGCAAAATTAAATCAGATTCTTAAGAGCAGAATCAGAAATTCGACTAGTCAAATTCTGACATGTTCAAAACCCATTACTTACGGATGGTATCTTCAGCATTGATTTTAGGAAAGAAATCTGTTGTTGTTTAAGGAGAAATATAGAATTAATGTATTGTGGTTGCAGAAATGGTAAGAGAAATAATTAAACTAAACAACTATGGTGCTTAAACATGTGAGCTTACAAACACTTAATTGAAAGAAAGCTTAGCTAAAATCAATAGGATCTGTTTCCAAGTAAACAGAAAAGAACTTAAACAATGGAACACCTCACAATGGAGTCACTGCTTTTATGGATGAGCCTGGAGCCCTGTTCTGCCAGTATAATCTGGTGTCCCTGCAACAGTGGTAGACAAAATCATCTTAGTGTACCAAAGGACTTTTACAATATCCCATTAAAAGCTTTGAAGAAGGTGACCTTTCAGTTATGTATCTAAACATCATGGGCATATCCATTTGCACCAAGCATGCAGCACCTACCTGGAGAGGGTTCTGAAAGGGCTCACCAGAGCCCTGCTTGCTCTTCCAGCCACCTATGTTTGCCCGTGGCCACATGCACAGGCATCCCAAGGGCACATTAGAGGAAGCTGTGTATGCTTCCTATATCCCCATCAAGCCCTCTGTCTCATGCCTTGCAAATTGCTTATATTTCAAGGGCAATGGGAGACATGCACAAGTGCTCGATTCTCTAATGTTTCTGTTGTGCTGCCTGTGTAGGGAAAGGGCGAGGTCAGAAAAGAAGCTCTGTTAAGCCCTGTGGAAACCTCCTTGCATGGGTCTATTTCATTAACACCATGAATAAATAACATTGGTGGAACAAACCTTATGGTCAATTCTACAGAAACAATTTGACCTTTTTAGTGTTTTGTAATAATGAGCATTTCCTCAAATTGCCTGTATGTTACTTTTGAGGACAATCAAGTTACATACAAGCTATTGTTGACCCAAGTAAAAAGAAATGAAATATTTGGAAAATCTTACAGTGCAGAAAGCAAGATATTCTTAATGAAATATGCAAAATCAAAGTTAATCAGGCTAGTGTATCATAGGCATAAAAGCTAAGTTTGATTCAGTTATGCCTTTTGCTTTATGGCTTGAGCAGGACAAGAAAATAATGAATGATTAAAATACATTTGGACCAGGCATATTGCGGTAAATGCACACTTAAAACTGTTCTGATGATTGTATATTGGGGATTGTTTATATATAAATAGCTTGCTTATACCTGTGACTTTTTGTTTGGATAAAATCTGCTCTTTACTATAAACTGATCTAAGAATGTTATTCAGTAATAAAACTTGCTTTGTTTATGTTTGGTTTATGTTAATCAGAGAAAAGAGGTAGGAATAACCTTAAAACTGAAGAATCAGCATGCTTTTAAATTTAAATGTGATACGTTCAAACCAATAATAAAACAGAAATGACATTCAGTGTCAGCAGTAACAAATCTAACATTTGTAAATAATACAGTATAGAGAATATAATTTAAAGAACAATTTATATAAGTGTGCTTTTTCCTATAAATTTTTTTGCTTTTTTAAAAAGTCTATAGTCCATAGATATGAAAGGGAGGATCAGTATCAGTCCCATTCTATTTTCCCATTAGTTGTACAGAACAGTAAAAGAGGTTTCAGTTTACATTGCCTATGGCAGTCTTATTGGTTGCTATTCTTGTTTTGTTTGTAGCTGGAACAGTTCGGAATTTTTGTTGCTGAACTTTTAGCATAATGAGAATACCAATCCCTGTCAAAAACAGCTTTAAGTTGCTTGATTATGCTGGTTTTGTTCCCTGCACCATCCTGGTTGATGACAAGACCAGCTCCAGCATTCTGATTAAAATAGGTTCCGACCCAGTCAAAATTACCTGTAAATAAAGGAAAGAATAGCAAGTAGCATGTTGGTAGTGAAAGTAAGTTTAAGAACAATCCTTATTCTTAAACTTGCCTCCCTCTAGTCATAGCAAATGCTTTTATTGCTGCGTTTGATTACTCTAAAAGTAGATTGCTCTTATTTTCTAAATCATTTTCTCAGCTGTTCATATGTAAGGTTAGTGGGTGATACCCTGTTTCCCCAAAAGTAAGACCTAACTGGAAAATAAGCCCTAGCATGATTTTTCAGGATGCTCGTAATATAAGCCCTACCCCAAAAATAAGCCCCAGTTAGGATTGTCAGCCAGACAGATGCATTTAGTACATCTGTTGCAACACAATTCAGGGTTTGGAGAGTTATGATGATGTTCCAGAAGAAGATGGCATGACTGTACTTTAATAAATGTAGATTTTTGTACATGAATAAATGAATAAATGTAGATTGTTGTACATGAAAAAATAAGACAACACCTGCAAATAATCTCTAGTGCGTCTTCTGGAGCAAAAATTAACATAAGACCCGGTCTTATTTTCAGGGAAACATAGTAGATTATCCTATACAACTTTTCACATGCAACATTTATAGGTTTTCTATATTGCTCTTTATGGAATAATAAATTAATTTACTGTAGCTTTGACACTGCAATTAACCTGTATTAACCAGTCTGCAAGTGGATTATCCAGTGATTCACTTACCAATATAAGCAGCTCTGTCAGTTACCACATACTTGTTGCGATTTAGCTTGAGAGCAGAAGAGTTTTTCTGTTCTTTTAAAAAACAAGCATTTTCTTCTTCTAGATCAAAAAATTTCTGCATTAAAGAAGAAAGAACCAGTTAGTGAAACCTATCCCTTTGACAATCCTGCAGAAGGAAAACATAAAGATGATGACATATCACATTAGGGACAGTTGAAATACAGAGTATAAAATATCATGGAATTACTTCAGTTTATAAAGATTTCATGGAAAATGCCACATTCTGGACCCATTTGCCAGTTTTGATCACACTGTGAAGGATTTCCAAATTAACAGCCATATTGATGTTCAAAAGCCTGGTGTCTCATTGCCAGTTATGCAAACAAAATATTGGTCAGGAAATGGCCGTGATTGTATTCGCTAATGGCTTACAAGGGGGTAGGGTATTGTGAAAGAGGATCCTCCACTTAAATGAGCAGCAACCTATGGGGAGTGAGATTTGTGGTCTTGCCAGGAGCAAGCCTCTGAAGACAGTGGCAGAAGATGTCTGTCTATCTCAGCATTCTGCAGCTCAATGCCCAAGGGGGTGTAGAGAGCCCAGATTAAACATGCCTGCATGGCCCCAGCCCATGTTTCCTTGGTCACTGCTCCACTGAACATTCAGAATAGAGATTTGCAAGAACAGTCATGCAATGGTTAATATCATACAGATGATTCTTCCTGCAGACACTTGGAAGTTTCTATTCAGCCAAGGATCCTTATTCTCTTTTGTCCTAATGTATAGGAAAACTATTTTTACAATAGCCATATCTAGTGGCATATAATGCCTTGAAAAATATAGAAGGTGTATAAAATGTAAAATATCCAAAGTTGTTCTTTCAGGAAAAAAGAAAGTGATTTAAAAATCACTTGTGGCAGAATTGCTGGCAGTCTTAATATTATCTCATATACAATATGGTAGATTTCTGGTTTATCAGTATGTGTTTGCTGAATGATGTTAAAAATGAACTTAGCTCTCAGCAATGTTTAATATAGTTCAGAATTATAAAAATTTAAAAGCATATTATGGCACCTGCTTGTCAAGAAGAAAAGTGGGGGAAATAAAATCTAATTCAATTAAGCTATTTTAAATACTAGGAAAGCGTTGAATAGAAAAGGAGAAGCACACTGGTTTCTGAATCTGTCATTAACACTTTTTCTCTATCCTACACCTGCTAAACCAGCAACCACTCTCCTGTCAGAACTAGTTCCCTGGAGGATGACTGCTCGTGTGATGACAAGTGAAGGAAAACCAAGCTGCACCTTGGAAATGCCCTCTGGTGATGCACCTGGAAAATAACGTTGCTGCAATTCATGCGATGGGGACTCAATACTTCAGCTTCCTAAAATCAGCTCCCCTTATTGAATAAAGACTGAGGGTACTGCTTTCCTAAGCCCTGAGAAGTGGGAATGCTTTACCTCAGCCCTAGCCCTGAAGAGAGGGGAGAGAGAGCAGTGCTTTCTTCTGGCCATTACCATAACTATTTGCTTTTTGTTTTTGTTTGTTTAATTTCTGTACCACCCAACAGCCAAAGCTCTCACTAGTGGGCTCTACCTGGCTCAGTGATGCCTACAACAACTTGGGAGGGTACAAAGACAGAAATAAGATGGCTAAGCTAAGATAGAAAGGATTGCTAAGCCTTTTCTGCTATCAGTTCTTAGAGGATGTCTGGCTCAGGATGAACTAGCAATCAACAAGGGAAGCATCCTTTCCAGATCTCTCACATATTCTGTTCAATGGTGAATAGCCCCACCCATCCATCTTGGGTCAACTCTATAGGAAGTAAGCCACCAAACCTTTCCCTGCTAAATTCTAAGGGCTGTTAGAAGAATAAGCTGGCTAAACTTATGGCTCTGCTGAGCAGCAATCATGATAGAGAACTTCTGGATTTAAGGAAAATTAAAATGCACAAAACAAATAAAACCATGCTGTATTTCACAAATATATTGCAAGGAGGTTATTTATTTCTAACAACCAGCAAGAACATATATAAGCAATATGTTAAAAGAAAAGAGAAGGGATTTACACTGTGGATTTTGGAATGGTTTTGGGTATATTTGTGGTAGTATTTCATTATTACATTTTATTGTGTTTGAGTACTTAATGAAAAGGCATTTTAGTAATATTAAAAATAAACATTCCTCACATATCTTTTTGTTTTGCCTTAAAATTCTACTTAGACTAGTACCATAGGTTCATAGCTTAATCTCTCCCATGAAATCAGTGAGTTCTAAAGGTGTTTAAATTTTGGCTGGGCTGTGTCCTATCAGTCACTTTTAAAACTAACTTTCTTACTTTTACCCTGAAAAATTTAGAGCAACCCTAAGTGAAATTAAGGGAGAATTGCACTGGCCAGGGTAGAATGCAGGTGCTGGCAGCAGTTTTGCCCAGCATTTCAGTCCTGCAGAACTTTCTATGCACCAGGCTAGCATAGTTGAAAGGCGAAGACTGAGTGCCTCTTGGGGCAATGTAGTGGCTTAGCTAATTCTGATCAGCCCCTGGCCCGCAGTGGTGCTTTGGAGACCCCATGCCTTCAACTTCCAGCAGAAACTCTCCATGAGGCAGTGGAGGTTCTGCAGTGGTGGGGCACTTCATCCCTCCCCACAGCGGAGAGGAGTTCTGCTGGTTTGGGTTGGCAGAGAGGCTCTCTTGTCATCTTCTCTAGGAACCGACTCAAATCTCCTCTCTGTGGCTGTGCCAGAGGGGGAAAGAATGGGATGCCAGAGAGCTCCAGGGGTTTTTCATAATGCTAACCAATTGGTGAGCTTAACATTGGAATAATATTATGCAGAAAGAAAGTGGGGTGAAAAGGAAGTTCTCCATTCATGTAATCATGGAAAATTGTCAAAGTTGTACAATGGATTTTACTGAGTTAACAAATGCTCCCAAACCCAACATGTTTCTTCCTGGGAATTTATATTACCAGCGTTAAGTAAAGAGGCACATATCACAGAATGTGCTGAATTGACACATTCACACAGAATGTGCTAAACTGACAAAAAGAAAATCAAATGCAATCTAATCAGCAACAGAGAGTTGGGTGGGTTGGATGGAAAACTACATGGGTAAACTGAGATATTTGGCACTAGGCTGCCATTCTTATATTGAATTAACAGGAAAGAAGACAGCATGTTATATTTGGCAATGAAGGTTAAATTTGATTGAGTTACTTATTTGAAATCAGTTGTGGTGTCTTCACAAGAAATTTAATTGGAACATTTTTTAGATTTATAAGAAACATCATGAAGAATACTTACAACTTTTAAACTACAGCCAGAAACTTCAGTGCAAATTGCTTTAAGAGATGAAACAAAGTTAAATGTGAGTGGATTTGTTTCTTTTGAGAAACTTATGAGGAGTCGTACTTTAATATTGCGCAAAATCAGTGCTTCTCTTATCTTTCCATCCAAGTATGGCCAGTACCTATGGAGAAAGTATCCAATATTATTCTGTTATTTTTAATAGAAAAAGCAGGACTTCCTAGTTCAATTAAAAATAATTAAAATAAGACGCACACCCCAGTTGACTATGTTGAACAACTAGTAGCAAACCATGAAAGGGACAATTCTTGTTAAGACTGCATTGGTTGAAAAAGTGATCATTAATAGTATGCAAGGCCTAAGTGACTCCTGAGTCAACTCCAAGTGGCGGCGGGGGGGGGGGGGGGTTGCTGGCTAAATCCCAACTGCATGAGACAAGAGCATGTCTAGGAATTTGCAGGAGGCATTACTAGAACTGGCAAGTTGCTAAGAAGGTTTCTTTTGGTCAGATCAATAATGGGATAAAGTCATCCAAGAGCCCAAGAGCTCAAATCTAGCAAATAATCACAAATTACTTTGGTATTTTTAGTATTATAAGAAACAGACATGTATAAATGTAAAAAGGAAAGTGGATACTGAAACATAAGATTGAAAGTGGAACTTCAGTGGAACTGCTACAACCAAAGAAGGTCTCTTTGTTAGTACTTCATATTCAATGTGAGAAAATAATTCCTTTCACCTTAAGTTGTGTTGTTATGTGCCATCAAGTCATCTCTGACTTGTGGCAGCCCTATGAATGAAAATGCTCAGTTAGTCATTGTTAATTGGCATATTCTGATAGGGAGAACAAAGTTCCTATGTTTCTGACACAGAAAAATCTTTGGGAAGTTTAACACTTAGTTCTCTCTAACCTGAACATGTGGCATCCTAAAATAAACACTTAATTGGGAAGTGATGTTTAAAAAATAAACAGCATGTTAAATAAACAATAAATAAGCCACACTTTATCCCTTTCTTGTCAGAAAGAGAAATTAGATAGGGTAGCTGCAGAACAGTTGAGCAATCTGGTCCCCTGAATGAAAAACAAGCATTCTTGCATGCTTTCTACTACTAAATGTCAGAGATTCTCAACCCCTATTTTCTACTTTTCTAAAGCAAGGTTGGGAAACTTCTCTTCTGGGGCTGGATTGCCCATCCCCAGACCAAGTCAGCAGGATGGGTGTCAAGGCCTATGGCCCTCCCATCCCATAATATCATCTAGCACAGCCCTGCATCCCAACACTCACAAGTGGCCTGTGAGCTGTATGAGAAGCGGATCCCCAGGTTATCTCTGATTGCCCCCTGCAAGCTGGGTTGGGCGCACCTCTCTTTTTCTAAAAAGATGGCACCTTTCTTAAGTGGATGGTGTTTGAACATTCTGAGGGGTCATGATTTGTATCAACCCAAAAACAAACAAACAAGATTTGTATCAGCTTCATATAATTTCTGGTCTGGATCCCACATTTGCAATCTTGTTGATATCTGAGGCAAGAGCTGGACGACTAAATGTTGCCTCCAGGAAATAACTGAATGAACACTGCTTTCAGAAGCAACAGCTTATTTCTCTTAATACAATCATATACAAACACAGTTTTCTGGTATTCACTGACCTTGGCTCATTTGTGACATTGGTGATAGGCAAGTAGTCCATAACAGCAATATAAACAAACTGTTGAGCATCATCAATAACACTATAGATAGCATCAATATCTAAAACTCTGTCTTTAGGGCAAAGTAGCTTGGGAGAATTCTGTGAAAATAAAAGGTCAAAACTTACATTAGAAGTTATGCAGAGGATTTACCCTTTCACCTTTCTTCAGTGTAGAATAAATGCATAAAATTATTATGCTTCATCAGCTTTGTAACGAGTAGGTGATATGTTCAAGGAAATTACTGTTTGATACACAGGATTCAAACAAGTATTTTCAAATACATAATCTAGAATTTGCTGGATGCACAAATGAGTACAAATTTTCTGTACTCTATGACCTGGTTTGCACATAATGCTAACCTATGAGTTAACTCCTGATTAACCCATGATTTGTCTAACATACATTTGAACCCTGTTTAATCCAATTTTTCTGGCAGACAGTTTAGCAAACTATTATTTCTTTTCTCAGTCTTTGTGTTGTTTTCTCATTTTGCACACTCCCTCCCTGTTTCCCAAATTCCTTTACTGGCATGAAAAAAGTTCTGTATATGCATGTGTGCATGTTTTAACACTCACGCTGTCTCTATGTCCTGATGGAAAAAACTATGATCAATTCATGATTTTGGGATGACATTTAACAACAACCCATGTTTTAAACAACCCAAAGCATACAGCCCATCAGCTCTAACCATGGGACTCTTAGCATGGCTGGGTTCACACATCAGGACAAACCAAAGTTCAACAACCTGTGGGCTAAACCATGAATTTTTATTACGTGTATGTCTGGACCAGATCAATAACTGTTAGCCCTCCTTAAGGAATCAGAATATGTGTAACAAATTCTTAAAGAGTCAGAAACAAATAATCACATGTCAGTTCCTGGCATTCCTATACCAAAGCTACACAGGTCAAATCACACCTTGTCAAGGTCCATCATTTTTCAAAGTCCCTGTGGATCCTACATTATGGATTCTAGACACGATCTACAATATAATGACCTGGTTTACCCAATCACAGTGACGGAAATAAAGCACAGTGGCTCTTTTTCCCTTCTGTCACACATGCTAGCTGGATTTTCTGAATTACCCTTGCTGACTTGGCTTGCGATGTCATCCGAACTCCGGCAACATGGTTTGTTTGTAGTAAGGGAGCAACCTAGAAATAACAGCCCACAGGTTATTTGAGGTTGCTCCCAATCAATCAAGCCATGCTGCCTGAGTTTGAATGACATGACAAATCATGCCAGGGGCGGTAATTAGAGAAATCTAGCTGTCACATGACCAGCACATGCAGCGAACCACCATGGTTTGTTAGCAACACTGTGATCATGTGAACCAGGAAATGACAGTTGCCGCTGCAGATATTCTATGATGTGTGTACATCCCATGTGTGTTTTTGGAAAGTCAAAGCCAAGTCTCCATTCTATGTTACAGGGAACAGTTAAAGAAGAGAAGTGACTATTTTGTTACAATATTCACTGGTTATTAGTCTACCTCCGAGATGGCTTGAGACCGGGCTACCTGGAAGGTCTTCCTTCATATGAGCCCACCTGGGGTTAAAATTCTTCAGAGGAGGCACTCCTCCTGCTACTACCGCCTTCAGGGTCAAGTCTGGTGGTGGTGGAAGAGGTGAACCCCTGGAGTGGCCGCTCCCAGCCTTTGGAGTCCCTGCTGAGGGAGGCCAGGTTGGCTTCCACTCTGCTGTCCTGCTATTCAGTGTCTGCAAAGATGTTCGGGCTGAGTACTGCTTTTATTCTGTGAATCTTGTGCGTTCTAACTGCCCTTGCCATTGTCATTGTCATTGTCGTCGTCGTTATTTTCATTTCTATACCATCCAAAAGCCAAAGCTATTTGGACAATTCTCAATTTAATCTTTGAAATTCTTTTAAACAATTTTTAAAAATTTTAAAACGCTTAGCTTCCTTGCATTATTTTCTTGGTGAAAAGGTGGGTACAAATCAAGTCAATCAAACAATATCTTTGTATTATTTTAACATAATTTATATTGTATTTTAATGTTGTATCCACTTTGTGACCCAACCAGAGAATGTGTGTCTTTGTATGGCAACAGAAATAATAATAATAATTAATTTTTATTAAATATGCTGTTTTGCTACTTTTTCTTCCTAGTTTCTATTCCATTTATTTTCCTCCTTGTCTGCAAAAATTATCCCTGATCTGGCATGCAGTCTGTCCTAAAATTATTAGTGTTAAACTTTGGCTGCTTGTGGGAGTGATGATAATAATGGAATAATAAATGATTCAAGCAACAGTAACGTCATTAATTCTGAAAGGCAGTCAGCAGCTTCTGTGACCTTATATAGAAAGTACATGTTCTTTTGTGTTTATCAGCCATAGAGATGATTTTTGTTGCCTAGCAACTGTATCACAATGGTTGCTAAAGGGAAAGCACCCAGATTTAATATCATGTGGACATGGAAAAAACAAGGAAGGGTTATCCAAGATAGTAGTTTTCTTCCTATTGCTAAGCATGTCCTATTGTGACACGATAATATATCCATCACTGGATTTTCATCAGGAAAAAAACCTATTTAGTGTTTCCATACTATAAGTTATATAAACTAACAGTGGACTCATTTTCTGAATGTGGATAATGTTGCATTAGGCTTGGGGGAATCCAATGTTTGCAGAAGTACAAAAATAATGAAAACACCTCTAAGATAATAAATCCCTTTCGGAATCTCAGTGTGAACTGATGATGGTTGACTATTTGAAGAACAGGGGAGAAATGGAATGGAGAATCCTAGAAATGTACATGGTTGGCAAGCAAGAACTGTGTAGGGTTTCACCATAGTGCAACATTTTGTTGCAGACACCATTTGTTTAATAACCAATAGATAGTACGACAAGACTCAAACAATATATCACAGTTATTGATTTTATCCAAAGGTTTTCAGAATATAAGCTCAGGATGAAATTCTTGGTTCCTAAAGTTGATGACTTTTAAAGGAAGTGAGAGCTCAACTAGTAAATTCACCCATCCCATTCAAAGAGATGTGTTCCATTTTGAACTGGCCCAAGATCCCTGGAGTTTACTCAGAAATGAAATTGCTCAAAGGTGGATACATCAGGTGATTAAAAATATTTTAAATAAATAATCTAATAATACATGGAAAGTCTGTTACATATATTTTATTTAGCAATTGTGAGAAAAAAGAACCTATAGAAATGTTATCAGTGAATCACAATTTCAATACAAATACAATTAATTTAAAAGGAATAGAAAATAAGTTAGTATTATGAATTATAATTGCTTTATGAATTTAATTCTTCTATTATGATATTGCTTTATCGAAGAAAAAAATGAATATTAATTACTAATCGTTGGTGGATTTGTGGATATGTTATAAGGTGAATTATTATTTTTGAAACCCATCTCAAAACATTTTTCTATGTAATAATTATTAATTTTAATTAAGTATTAATTAACTTACCTAAGTATTATAAAGTTAAAATTGTAGTTATAAATTTGCCAGAAGTAATAATAACTATTGACTTTTTATAAAACTTCCCAAATTTGGTACAATATGTAATATTTGTGTAAGGTCCCTTGGTATCTTTTTCTTTTCTTTTTATTAAATAAAATAAGAAATATTTGATTCTACATATTACTTTTTTCTTAAATTGGGGTTACTGACCTGTGACCCTACAGATTTTTTTTGGGCTCCAGATCTCATCTACCCCAATCAATGATCAGAGGTAATTGTAGTCCAACAACGTGTTGAAGAACACAGGCTCCCTGTTCCTGTCTTAATTAATAACTAGATATTAAATAATCTAGACAAAGACATGCTGGCCTTAAAAGTTAGTATCAAAACAAAGTTAGTATTTAGGCTTTTCTATGTAATGGACCAATTTAGTCCTTTATCAAGTATGAACATTTATATATCATCTACCAAGGACACGAATTTCATTTTCATGGGATGAAAACAAAACAGAAGAGAGCAACTCTGGGAAGAAGAGAAGAGACAAGGCGAGAAGAGAAGAATGTCCAGTCTAGGGATCACTATATTCTCTTACTTATTTGTGGTATATTACATATTACATATTTGTGGTATTATGAAGAAATGCAAGCCTGGTTCTAAGAATCAATCAAAGGAAATCATATTGTGATTGTAAGTAAATAAGGTTTAGTAGTTACCTCGGCACCTTTGTTTAGGAAGTAGATGAAGAAATATCAATAGAAGACTTGGCTTAAATCAGTTATTTAAAATGGCCTTTTCCATTGCTGATTTAATAATGATTCAACTTACTCTCCCTGGTTTGGATCTTGTAATTGCTAGTTCTACCTTGTCTTCTGCACCCCTTAGTCAGCAAAATAACACATTATCTTTGCAAAGGGAGGGTGATAGGTGCTTGACTAAAGGCTAAACATTACATTCAGGAACATAATTTGTTGTCTGGGTATAGGGATTTGTAGTTCTGTCTGACACACTAAAAAACTTAAATAGCTTTTGATGTAAGCTGGGGCTGTGTGTTTCTATGGCACAAATCACAGGTATTGGCCTGTTCTTAAGCACTTTTACCACAGCAGCTGCAGAAAGTAACTATGGAAAATTCATCTGTAATAAAACTAGAGGCTGATCAGAGATCAATGGTAGGTGAATTCTAAGGAAACCACACATGTGGAATATTATATAAATATTGATTCACTCTATATGGCCATGTGTATGTTCAAGTTCTGATGAAGACTATTTCTCAGCCTGTATAAAAAGAAGCAAAGAACAAGCATTCTCCAGACAAACAAAACAAAAACAAGCTCACCGAGACAAAGACTTGCGATTTGGTTTCATTCAATTTGAGGATCAGTTTATTTTCAGTGCCATAAACTGCATACAGTCTCTTAGACCAAACGGGAGGTACTTTGCTCTTGGATTTCAGAGAACTGTACAATGCAAATGTCCGTTGTAAATCTAACACCAAACAACTGCAATTATACACGATGACACCCAGTTCTTTCATCTGTGAAATATAAGTGCAAATTAGTAAGAGCATTGTGTTGTATCTCATCCAGTTGATGTTATTTTTTAAGAAGTTCTTTGTTTTAAGTAGCTAAATGCAAGAAAGTATTGCCCTAATCTGAAATAGATCTGTAGGGACAACACCTTACTCTAAGACAAAATGCAATTGCTTTTATTGCCTCCATATACATATATTAATGCTAAATATTTTAACATCAGCCCTGATAGAGGGAAAAGAACAGAAAGGCATTAATATTTTAACTATTATTTGTAAGTGACTAACACATTCTGTGTTGATAACATGGCAGGTCTGGTTAGTAAAGGACATATAGATTATTTATTTCCTGAAATAAAATTTTTGTCCAGCGAAGCTGAACACAGTGAATAAAAAACACTCCCTACCCATTCATAAAAATAACTGAAGACATGTTACTTATTTTTCAGTTCCTTATATCATCAAAACAACAACTCTTCTGAATGTACTTCTTTACAAGAATCACCTTGGTGACAGCTGGATGTCACGGAATCACGCGGTTGTGCTAGCATCATCCTTGGGAACAGTCTATTCTAGTCCCTGGTGAAAAGTACTGTATTTACTTTCCTGAGCATAAGACCAATGGAAGAAAAATTCTGATCAATACAGACATGAATTCAATTCTGAGTATATTAATATGAATATACTGAGGGTGCAGTTCTACATATGCTGAGTTGATAGTAATAATCCTACTACTTCCAGCATTCCACAGAGTTCTAGAGTTTCCTGTCCAAATGTACATATGATTGTGCCCTAATATTATTTTAGCTACTATTTCAATGTTTAACTTCATAGTTTATTACTTTAGTGCAAGTACTAATAAATATGTGTTCTCTTCTCCATGTAGCAGCTAGACTGCATTTTCAGTCTTTCTGTTAAATTTACACAGCTTTGCTGTGGCTACCTTCCACATACATCGCTGAGCTGTACTTTCCAAACCACTTTGGCAAATCCTTCTGAAAAGAGTGGATTATTCATCCTTAGCCACATCCAGCAGGAAATCCCCCACAGAAGGTGTGTGTGGGGGGACCATAAGTGGAATGCCAGGTGGCACTTGGGGCTGAAGGGGGAAATAGAGGAAAACTGAGCAGTGGTACACTCTGTGAGTACTGGGAGTCGACTCATTTATGGTGCATAGAAGGATATACACAAACCCTTCAGGGGTGCTAGATCCTGTACTGTAAGAGATGTCCTGTACTTTTAGCAGTGGCAAAGGAAAGGACCTTTTAGAAAATTCAACATGTCCCATTGTGTTTTGCTACAAAGAGAAAATGCTTTCTCTCCTTTATACAACTCAGAAATGTATAGAATTTGGGTTTCCTGACCTTGCAATCCTAAATACTTTTGTATGGAAGTGGAGAGAGCTAGAAACTGTTGGCATAACAAAGCCATCCCATAGATCATAAATTATTTTCTTAATGAGGATCTTCCCAGCTTGCCTTTGGATATGTTAAGAGACATGTGAAGATCACACCAAGGCAACCACATATGCTGATATTATTCGATTAGGCTTGGATTATTTCCTATTCAAACATTTTGTAGAAAAGAATAGTTTTATTTTAAACAATTCGATTATGTTCTCCATTAGTACTGGTTTGAACTCTATTCCCACAGTTTATGAAGCAGCTTTATTTTTATTTTGCAGATATACCATGCAATTATATGCATGCTTACTCAAAACAGAAGCAAGTCCTTTCAGTTCAATGGGACTTACTTCTAGGTATTTATTTATTTTTGCATTTATATGCCACCCCCCTACTCCTAACAAAGCCTCTGGGTGGCTGTGAGCGAGTGAGCTTTTCACTGACATATTCTTGTACATTACTTACTTTTTTATTCACTCTTCACTCAGATTATAAATAATGATTTCTTAAGGCTATACTTCTGACTCATTCCCATTTATCTGCTTGTTTGGAATACTGAAATAAGTGGCATTGCAAAATTAGGCACTTCAGCCCCCTGCCACATACACAATAAGGTGATATGGTAATGCACAATAAATACCAATAGAATAGGAACCCATTCATACCATTCTGTTTTACTAGTTGCTGAAGCTAAGCAAAGCATACTTAGGTTGCTGGACTTAAGTGGGTTTGAGGGAACTTCCAGAAGAATCTTTGTTGATACTATCATATTCATGGAGATTTGGGTTTGGGGAGAGGGAAAATCTGATTCTACTTATGAGCCATCTGTATTTTCTTATAATGTCTTCCCTTAGCAGAAAATATATTAAGAGAAAGAGAGAACCAGAAGGATCTTCTCCTTCCTTATACACCCTCATGCCCCTTAAGATCTGTGGAAGCCCTGCTCTGGGAACCCTCTCTAAGAGAGGTAAAAAGGTCATCAACTCAGACTAGGGCCTTCTCTGTCATGGCACCCAGACCCTGGAATGTACTTCCCAGAGAGGTACACCTGGCACCAAGCTTATACTCCTTGGCACCAGGCCAAAAACTTTTTATTTAAACAGTATTTTAAAATCAACAACATTTAACCTTCAGTCACTCTGTTTGTTTTGTGATTTATTGTTTTGTTCTGTTTCAATTTATTTATTAGAAATTGTTGTTTTAATTGTTCTTTTAAATATTGTAATCCATTCTGAGATTTTTGTATAATAGAACGGCATACAAATGCTATAAATAAATAAATCAATCTCCATTTTTTCTCTGATTACTAGGGCTAGTAGCCCTCTTTCTAGACTTTCTGAGCCAAGTCAGTGCCTTGATCCCTACATTCATGGCCTTTACTTCTACTACCAAGATATGAGACACATTTGTAAAAAATAAATATACCAACATTTTGTAAAGCTCAAACATGTACTGGTAAAGCTATTGCAAGACTAAGTCAATCTATTATTTGCCAGTACAAACTGTAGCAGGAAAGCCAACATCTCATTAATCATTCTAATTTCAACTTCAGAGCTAGAATAGAGCCATCCTAAGAAGGACATACATAACACCTACATTAATTTAAAAATCAAGCACTGCCTAATTATAGTTATTAGTAATAATCTATTAAGGATAATGCTCATCAGAATTTATGCTGCATTGAAGATAGTGGTCATATTTATTTATGCAATCACTATTAATGATGAATTGAATCCAGACTATAATAGGATCCACTGAAATCAATGGCACAAGTTCATCAGGACCCAATCCCACTGACATCAGTGGCACCAAATTCAGTTACCTTAGCTTGGATCTAACCCAATGAGGTCATTAACGCCAAATGTGAAAAGCTTCCACTCAACTCTGAATATCTTGTACTAGAAAACTAGGAAGAAATGAATATCAATATAGTAACTCCTACTACATGGAGGGATATGTGATCTTGGATGCTCTAAGATATGCATCCCAACAGACACTCTACACTGCAGAGTGTAGCATATGTCAAGGTCTCATGTAATATGAGGAGAAGCAATGAATCTGGAAGATTTGATAAGTCTAGTTCTGTAGAAACAAAGAAACTAGCATTTATTTACATAGTTTTGTTTGCTTTTAAATATATTCTTCTTTAGCATTTTAGTCCTGTAAGAGCATATTATATGTTTTATAATACTGCTTCCTATAACAGCTGGGGGGAAAATGTTCATTTGTCAGTTTCCTTCCACAAAGTACTTACTGTTGTGCCTTGATTCTCCAAAACTTGGAAAGTGACCTGGAACCGAAGAGTAACTGCACTGCATCAATGAACTTTAAATGTATCAACTTCCAGTGCAACGTTATTCCAAGTACAAAGATGAGAAACAGCTCATCTCAATCCAAGTTTTATTTGATGCAAAGTAAAAGAACTTAATTTGACTAAATGTCATACATGTCTTATCTTAAAAGAGCCAGATGGGCCCTTTCATAACTTTAAAAAATTCATTAGCTTCAAAACACTAAGAGACTGATATAGAGTTCTTTTCACTACATACAGTTTTGTAATGAGGACATGCAGCTGTCTTTTCCAGAAATGCAAATGAAGAGGCCCTACCTCAGCAAATAATTCTTACTATAAACTCTTGCTTGGAAATATTACAGAGCATTTCATCTGTTTTATAGATGGGTATTTGCAACATCTCAAGGTAGGCTGGTTAAATATTCAGTTTCATAGTTTAAAACTAGTGGGAGGTTTTCCCTTAGTGTCCTTTGCATTCCATTACATATGAGGCTTCATGCTAAAGATGGACTGTAGTAATTACTTGTAGAAGTAAAGCTGATTTAATGTGTTGAATTGGGGCAAGTAGGGAAGCTCAAACTAAGGACATGCAGTTGGGAAAACTCATTTTCCCAGTTTATAGTGTTACCAAGCAACAACAGTGGAAGAAACTAAATAATCCTTCTAGTAGATGATATTGAAATCTTTAATATGTATAACAGAACAGTCATTTTAATTAAAATATTACCAATCTGTACTCCTTGGAAGCCAAGACACGTTCTCAAATTATTGAAAAGTTGTGAAAATATACAAATCCAATCCAAAATACCCAGAGATTTATTCTATACCATTCTAAAATTACTATGGATCTCACAAAATGCATTTTAAACTATATTGATTCATCTTTATTAACAACCCCCACTATCCTCTAATATCTAATAATTAGCTAATATCCACTAAATTATAATTATTTCAGTTTGCTAGAATGTTGCATGTCAAGATAACAAACACACAGTTTAGGTAGATGAACATTCATTCCTGCAGCATGCATGGAGACAGACCACTGGCTTTCGTCAAAGTGAAAATGATGTATTTTACTACAAATCTATAGGATTTCCCCCAAATTTGCTATTATTTTATATTTAAAGCATCACTTGATATGGTAGGAATTTCAAAAAGGATGGCTGAAAGGTATTGTTTGAAATGCATATGTTGTTCCTATCCAAAAATGATTTGATCATATCACTTATTACCCAGAACACTACTGATGAATAACAAGGTCAAAGAGCATTTTGTAACATGTTACTCTCTGTGTAACAGAAAATGACTTCTTTTGCACACATGAATACATTGGAAAACACAATGGTTGATCAATAAGAATCACTCTTTTCATGGAGTTTAAGATGCTGAAAATATAAGTTTGGTTTTCCAACCTGTCACCACATAATAAGAATAGACACAACAGAATCTTGATTATGGTACCAGGAAGAAAAAAAAACATAAATGGCTGTTGCCAATGGGAACTCTCTTCATTAAGAATAGCTGCCACATGTGTCTAATTTGGTCCTGAGTTACCCTTGAGTAGTTAACAGTAAAGCTAGTGCATCAGGGCATCACTCTGTGTGCACTCTGATATGTAGAACTTGCCCATATTTTAGGTGCAGCATATTTAAGTTGTTAAGCAGGGCATACTTACAGTAAGTCAAACTAAACGTTTTTGTAAACTTAATGTGTGTATTGGGGCTTGCACTTGTGTGTTGACAGAGAAAAAGCTAGCAAGTAGGTAAGATTCAGATAACATTCCAAGTTTCCATGTTCTCTGTGTTAGGTGCTACTTGAACACAGAAATGCCTTTTCCCAGCCAAGTGTCCAAAAATGAAGGGAGAGGATAGGAGTTGGATGTAGGTTGAGGGAAGGTATAGTGGAAGCTGAAACGCAGCAAAGGAATGGGCAAATCATCCAGGACGAGCTTGGAAGAATTGGATATAATTTTTTATTTAAAAAATAATGTGTCCTTTAGTATGTAATCATACAGTTTCTATAGCAGATTTATTTGCTTGTCTTTAATGTTGTGCACACCACTCTGTGATTCCTTGTGGATGAAGGGCATTTTGTACCCTGATATATTTAGGGTGCAATCCTAGCAATTATGTCCTCAATACTTGTAAGCCCTTAAAGCCAGAGACTCACAACTATCCAATGCATAAAATGAGGAGGGACCGAGTTGATCTTTGCTTTCCACACCTCCAACTTGGCTGAGGCACTTTGGAGGGGGAGGGAAGGAGGCTGGAGTGGATAGCAAGAGGCCTTGGAGGCCCCAGTCTCTCCCCACCCTGCTGATTTCCCAACCTTGCAGAGGCAGCTGGCATGGTTCTTTTTGTGCCTGATGCTGGGAGTGGGGAAGGTGGATCAGAGTGCAGAACCACAGCTTTGATGTTGAAGCTCTGTTCTGACTCAGGTCTGGGAATCCAAAGTATCCTATGGTTCCCTAAGGTGATGCCTAAACTTACTGTATAAGATGTTATACTGTAGCTCCCCTCACTTTAAAACCCTCATCCACACAGGCTTTCTCTGTGGCTGTGCTCCCAACAGTGGAAGCTGGTGGCAGCAATGCTACCGGGGCTGTGCATCCACCCCATATTTGAGTCAGACTTAAAAAGAAAGCATCCATGGTGCTTAACCATTTTTCTCAAATAGGGTAAAATCTGGAATGGATGAACAGCCTCATGGGCTCTGGAGCCACCAGCATTCACAAACCAGGCTGGCTTCTTCTTTGCCCAGTTTCAGGTTAGCTGATAAAACTTTTTTGTTCCATATGGCTTTTTGTTCTTTTAAGGATGCAGTCCTCTGTAAAAAGTCTATAACTTCCAACAGTTTCCAATCAGTGAAAGTTCTTTCTTTAAGAAGTTCTCCTTTTGAAATTTAAATACCTGTCCCAGTGAACTCCACTCTAAACTTGCACTTCCAAGGTATACATGCTGTTTGTCCACAATCCAGAATGAGGACTGCAAATGTCCATCATTGTAAGCAGTCAAATTTATATACATCACTTCTGCACCTAAGGAAGATAAAAACATAACATTACAAATGTGCAAAAAGATAAAAGATCATACAGTTAATGATTTTAGCAGTTTAACAGTGCTGTTGCAACCATGTTAACTCAGATGTCTCAGGAAGTTCAATGAAGTTCAACTACTACTATCTTACGAGTAGTAGTCTCTTCAGGATTCAACCTAAGAGGGAGGGGCAGACAGTGCAACTCTATGCATGTTTATCCAGTAGGATGCCACACTGTGAGATTTCTTGCCTCCTCGGGTATTTGGAAATGCAGCATCTGCATTGTAGTGTATGCACCTGTACTGGAGAATAGGCCTATTGAGTTTAATGGGACTTATGCTGGTAATAAACAAGACCTTAATACACAAAGCCAAAAGATGACATTTTGCCATTTAAAATGCAGCTCCAGTATAAAAAGTAAGTGGAAATTTGTGTGTAATTTGAGGACAGATTTTGTTCAGTATGAATTCAGTTTCATTTCCTTTGTCCAAGGTGAGCAGGGCATGAACTGAACTGGTGTACAGGTTTTCAGAATCAGGAAAATGTTAACTATTACTTTACTTCATAAAAATTGCAATGGGATAACTCATTCCAAATGAATGAAAAATAAGAATTCTGAAACAGCAAAGTTTCTTGGATCTCTGCCACATTAAGCTGGTGACATAAAGGTTAACAAATGGATTCTGGTTTAAGCTTTTGTGGACAGAACAAATGGCAGATAAATTGTAAATCTTTAAAGACTCTCTTGTTTTCACTGCAACAGATTAACTTGGTTACCCTTCTAAAAATACTAAGTAATACTAACTGGCTTTGATACTAGTAAGAATCATATTATTTACTTCATTAAAGCAAGGGACATAAAGAATAAGTTCACCAATAGACAACACATTCAAATGACCCTCTACAAGGACTTGCCAGAATACAGCTGGAATGAAAAGTATTTTCCATCCATCCACCCATCCATCCATCTGCCTGACCTTTCTTCCTTCCTCAAATAGCCCCATCCACCTCATGCTACTGTAAACTGTCATGAGACTTTTCCCAAATGAGTTAGTCTTTTCTCTAGTCTACAGCTCATGTCCCCAAGGATCCAGAATCTAAGATCTGTGTGCCCCCTTCTCCCATCCACCTCCATGAACATGAAATTTTCTTATCTCTGATTCACAAGTGATTGAAGAAAAATTCTCCTGCTTCTTTGTCCCTTTCCCTCATTATATTTAGGCATTTTTTTTAAAAAGTATAATTGCATTGCAGACAATCTTTGATGAGAGATCATTGCTAGGGAGGGAAGGACTAACCTTCCACTCCTTAATATTGCAATCACTTTAAAAAAACCCAAAACAGAGGGCTACAGGCTCCTGAGGAAAGGGGCTCTGAGGGAGTGCCTGCAGCACAGACCATAGCCTGCAGTGTCCACAATGACTGGCTCTGAAGAAGGACCTCATCAGAGCAATTCATCCTCATCTAGTTTCTCTGAAGGGCTACACTGACTGCTGTTTGCTGCCAACACGTAGCTGTGTAGAGAACGGATGAAGGGGAGGAGTGGGGAGGCAGCAAGGATAGACCTTGGCATGGCCAGGGGAAATCATGCTTTAATGAGTATGTATCCTAACTATGTGTATTGAATAAAGATGAAACACCCCATGTCAGGGTAGTGGCACAGCAGCAGGAGAAGGCTCAGGACCATATGTTCAAACTTTTTACTTGGAGACAGCAGTTTTCGTAATGGCTGGTCTCATGAGACTATGTTTAAAGCTCCCAAAACATTTTAAAAGTACAGTCTTGATTTAAGAATGGTCATCAAAAGAAATGCAAATAATAAGCTGATTGGTTTTATTGCTGACCCAGCAGCTGAAGTCTGTGTTGTTGTTTTTTTACCATGCTGTGATTTTGGGTTGTGTTTATGCCCTGCTATATTGTGTGGTCAAACTGTTTTCATTTTTTCTGTTAGCAACCTTGCTCTAAGTTTGCTCTGCTTAGCTTTATTACCTGATACCTTTTTCTCATTTGTTTACCATTTCCTATGAACCTACACTCTTAGTTTAAAAAATGGACTGCCTGATAGAGGTTTGAGAGTTGCAGCTATTCAAATACACTTGTGTACGTGCACGTACATCATAAAGCTATTAGCTAGAAGTGGGGGTGGTTAGAAGCAATTTCTATGCATTCTTAGTGGAAAGGTTGCTCTGAAGCATTGGTAGGCATTGGGAGAGTTCTAGGAGGAGGGAAACAATGCTATGATAAATGTAGTTTCTCATATAATCATGAATGGCAGTACAATCTCTTAATACATAGGCACCAGGTGGCTAAGTGGGAAAAATATGGCACACTCAGAATCTGGGAAACTAAAAGCTAAAGCTATTCAGACCAGAAAGGCTTTTTTATACGAGCCAGACACATTGCAATGGGGGAAATGGGTTCATTGAAAATACCTCCTGTTCTCTGCTAATTCAATAGAGATAATACAATTTCTTTGCTACAGAGCACAAAAGGGAAGAGATTTCAAGCAGCTTTCAGTGAGAATCTGATTTAAAACCAAAAACTGCTACTACTGTTAGAGCACTGGCTGTCTTCAGAGTTTGATGCACACTGCTGGGTTGGAAGAAACAGAGTTTTCTCCTTCCTGAAAATGCTACACAGAGGGTCAGGAGACCCTACTAAATTGGGTGAGGCAGGGTACACAGAGGGATGGAGGAAGGAGGGAAGGAGATCCCAGAAACTGAGCGGAGGCATCTTTCTAAGGACAGCTCTTTTGTCCAAGAAAAGCAGATCCTGCATCCATCCCCTTGCCAAAATCCAAGGCCACAGGTGCTTGAAAAATTAATTAACAAAGCAGATCAAGGAAGTTTACTGTACAGAATAACTAAAGCATCACCTTCCTTAGAGAAAATTATTGAAGTGGGTATTGCCTCAATTATATTTATTACTGTTGTCTTGAAACAGAAAGGCAGTGGTTTAAAATCTTTTAGGTTAGCCAGTCTTAGTAAGCCATAGCTCTTCCCTGTTAACCTGTGAAAGGAATCTGTTGGATCCATTGGCGGCCACCGACCAGTAGAACGCTGGAGAAAAGGATTTCCCTCCCCACATCACCCCCTACATGCCACTAAATGAATTCCAAGGGGTTGAGGGACCATGAAGGTAGGAGAACAAGGGAACCTCTGCTGTGCAAGCAGAATTCCACACTTTTGATGTAATTGATTATATTACACTTAACTCCTACATGCTTGGCATATACTTTTCTATAGATGCTGAACAAGATATAAGCTTATACCAATGATATGCACTAAGGTGTGGATTCCAGAGAGCTGATTTTGAATATTTTTGGCAGATATGGCACTGAAGACCCAATTCAGATCAGAACCATGGCAGGGACAAGGGTTTAAAGCCCCAATTCAATGGTGTAACCTGTGCTTACTTTAGAGTAAATAAAAAAGAAAGATGTAGCTGCTATATCTTCAAATATTGTCATGTTTCAGTCTATAACTTCTCAGATCAATGAAATTGTTATCTCTGATAATACATTTGCATCCCCAGATGATCCTCTTTGGACATTAAGAACAATCTGGTCAAAAATAAAAAGACTAAAATAGCTTCATTAACCTCTGTAAGATGTTTGGAAGCTCAAAAATGGCCTGATTTACAAAATTGTTAGCAAGTGATTGGAAAATATGTAAATAAAAATGAATTAATGTAACATAGCAAAGATGACAAAAGTTAGAAAGTAGAAATGGTTAAGAAAACAAAAAACAAAATGGAAAATTTACTTACTTTTATCTCTTTAAATAAATTTAGGAATAATTTTGTTATTACAAAATACAAGAATGTTTTTACATTTTCTTATATAAGATTGTGCATGTTTTTATGTAAGAGGTTTTTAGTAGAAAGATGCCAATTATTTTGAATTATTCAAAATGAAATATAGAGATAGTGCTAGCTTCTGCTTTGCTGAATTTTTGCATCACCCAATTATCCTCTCACGATGGATTAAATCAGCATTTGCTGCAGTGTGCAAAATCAAGGAGGAAGACACACATGTGGTTTTAAATGGCTACAATTTCATTAAAGAGCATTAACAATTAACTAAGTTCAACAAAGTTACTGCAGTAGAGAACCTTTATTTGCCCCTACATCAATGAGCAACTTGTAACATTCCAGATGTTTCAGCTTGCAACTCCCATCAGCACAGCTAATGCTGAGGGAATGATGGGAACTGTAAAGCAAAATTTCTGGAGGGCCACAGACTGCCAGTTCCTGCTTTAAAAGCATCTACCAAGACTGACCAACCAAAGCACTTTCATTTTTAAGGCTCCAGCCTGCCAGTGCTCTTGCACATTTTTTACCATTTGCTGATAGGATCAGATAAATCTGAGTGAACGTCTCCTTTAGAACTACAGAAAACCCTTGTTTGTCCTGCTTTTCCACATAGGAGGATTATTTCCTCCACAAACCATTCTAACCTAACATACATACATTTATTTAAAGCTTTTGTATGCTGTCCTATTATACAAACTCTCAGTACAGCTTACAATATTTAAAAGAACAATTAAAACAACAATTTATGAAAAATAATAGAAACAGAACAAAACAATAAATCACAAAGCAAACAGAATGACTGAAGGTTAAAAGTTGTTAAATTTTAAAATACTGTTTAAATAAAACGGTTTTGGCCTGGTGCTGAAAAGAGTATATCAACAATGAATGCATTGCTGACCATATGAATAATTCCCAGAAATACATGCTGCTTTAACAGGTTTATTAGGCTAACCAAAAGATCACAGATATTGCCCAAGCTTTCTAGACCCCCAGATCTTTCTTCAGGTAAGAGATTAAAAGTCTAGAGAGGGGAAGAGGAAAAGGTAGCCATCTAGACAAGATTTTCTCTTTCCCTTCCTTCTCCTCCTGCCCTTTTAACATTTTGACTGAGGAAAAGATCTGGGCATCTCAAAAGCATGCACAACTTTTCCAGGTGATATTTGGGTAGGCTTAACATAGATATTTCTG